CCCCCCCCCCCCCCCCCCCCCGCCTATGCGCTACGGTCGGCCTTGCACGATACAGGGCAAGGGTCTGGAGCGGTACCTCCCTCCGAGAGACCGCAACGCGGCTCTGAACGCGATGAAGCCGCTGCTGCGCGAGGGCGACTGGGACGGCGCCGTTCTGCTTGGGCTGGAAGAGATCCACCGCCGCCTGTTCGAGAACCTTGCAAAGGCAGCCGGCGGCGGCGACGGCGGCGCGGGGGCTTTGTCCTCTCTTGGATGGGGCTGGGAAGACCTGAAGCGACGGGCGTCGGGCGGGTGGGGGGGTAGCGGGGGCGGCGGTGGTAGCGGCGATGGCGGTGGCGGTGGCGGTGGCGGTGGCGGTGGCTTCCGTGGCTTCCATCTCGGTGGCTTCGAGAATTCGTTTGGTGAGAACTGGAAGCTGGACGTCCCCCCTGGCTCCGTGCTGCTGGCGTTGTCGCTGCTGTGGGGAGGAGCCACCGCACGGGCCTCCCTGCAACGGAGGCGGTACGACAGATTCGAGGCTAAGCTGGCTGGGATCGAGGCTCAAAGGTGCGCGGGCTTGCGCGTGGCCGCAGCAGTCGTCTTGATGTTGTGTGGTGGTGCTCGGTACAGCTTGCTTGCACTTGGCGCTAAAGGAAAAAAAAAACACAGGAGAAACAGCAGTCAAAGTGTTACACATTGGAGTGTTGGTGCTGATAGCTTTTGGCTTCGAGAGGCGACGAAATGGGGGGAGCGCTTGTCCTTTGGATCTGGCGTGTGGGGCTGCTGCCAGGAGTCTTTACCTATCGCCGCCAGAGGCGAGGAAAGGTCAGCTATCGCTGCAAATGGCGGGGAGGTTGATGCCGAAAATTACAGCGGCATTCTTAGGGCGAGGGGCAACAGACCAAGAAGTGACGCCCGTTTTTCCCCCTTCTTCGTCGTTTTTCTTGCCATCTTCGTTATCCCTCTCAAGTTATTGAACGCATCGGTACTTCAGCTTGTTTTAGCCCTCGCTCTTCGTTTGTCACACGCGCCCTTGCGCCCGTTGATTGCCCTACGTCTCAGAGCGATGCTGCCGCTTTCAGCCGGCGGCGGTTGGTCGGTCGGGCAAGACGCGTTGGCGTCGCGGGGAGTGTGCCCCATCTGCCTAGACGCCTTCTCGGAAGCGGCGGATGGTAGCGGAGCCGACACCAAGGGGCTGGTGGGCGCGGACCGGATGCCGGCGGCGACACTGCCTGACTGCGGGCACACCTTCTGCCAAAGGCGAGTGGCTCAGCCTCTGATGATGGAGGACCGCGTGTTCGCGAGAAAATAAAATGATGAGGAAACAGAATAGGGAGGGGGTACGCAGACCATAAACCCTACCCGTAAACCTAACTCAGCTTCCTCAATCGCACACTTTATCCAACATGCTTTTTTCGTAGAGAAAACGTGCGAATGCTACTGGGTGACAAATGCCCCCTCGTGGTCGTCGTGAAAGAGTATTTTTGACAGAATCTAGCACATATGAACACGTGGGTTTCGGGGGGGGATTCCCTCGCCTTGTGACTGCTATACGTGTATCTGTCTTTTTGGTGTGGTCATCACGCTATCTAGTTTTCAAGCGTTTGAATAAGGACGCCCCGTGTGTCATCAAGGTACTCTAGTGAAGGAGGTCCACGAACCCTCCCCGATTGGTGGCGACCGCCCTCACCAGACCGCCCCCCTTTGTCACGACCCCTCCCCATCCCACCTTTCCCTGGGGCGGAGAACAGCTGCCTATCCCGATGGAACGGAGACGGAAGCGACTCGAGCAGTGGCAACCCCGAAGCCTGCCCGTGTCCTGTCTGCGATGCCCCCACGCCGGCGGTCGGAGACCCGCGGCTCGGCCGCACGAGTAGACGCCGTCGTGCCCCCCGCCCTGGGCCCCTCCGCCTCCGCCGCCGCCGCCGCCGCCATCGGCCTGGGGAGGAGGACGTTGGTTCCTTTGGGTTCAGGTGGCCTGGCTCGTCTTCCTCTTGGGGGGGGGGAGGGTCCCGTCGCGGTCGTGGAGGAGTAAACCTAAGTTTTTCGCCGTCGCCCCGGTCGAGCGGGTGGACTTCAGACGAACCTCGAGGATTGCTGCCGTCACCGATTGCGCCGCCACCGCCGCCCCCACCGCCGCCGCCGCCACCGCCGCCGCCTTCCACCCCTCCGCCACCGCCGCCGCCGCCGCCGGTACGGCCTCCAAGGGCGAGCGGAAGTCCCGGTGTGTTGAGGACGGGGAGGTTGGGCAAGACCGGCGGTGACCAGGCAAGGGAACGGGCGCGGCGGGAGGCCGCGTTTCAGCTAGCCTCGCTGGGGTCTCAGTACCCCAAGCTCTTGGACGATCGGACCGTCAACAGGTGTGGCCCCTCCTCGTATTATTTGCATGTGTGTGTTAGCCTTGCACCCCGGCATAGCGAACTTGTGTCCAATCGTACCTTACGCTGCTTGCTACGAAAAAGTAAGCTACTCCACCTTATTTCCGCGAAACCTTTTGTGTTTTTTTTCTGTTCGTGCGTTTCTCTGTCTGTACTCTCTCTGGTTCGATGCGCTTGAGATGCCTTGTAAGCAGCTCCATCGAGCTGAAGAAAATAGCTTGAGAAGAATAGCCATATTGGTTCGATGATCCACATCGCTATGTACGTGTGTTTGGGGTGTCGGCGCGCGTACTACGTTATCACGTTCGCGGGCTCTTGTCGAGAGCGTTTCTGCACAAAGGTGTGCCTCAAGTTCCTTGTATGAACGAGTGAGAGACAAGGGCAAGGCCAAAAGAGCCTAGCGCGTCAAGCCCCATGATACCCATCACATGTAACTCCCGGAGATCTGGGAGATCCATATCCTGCCGAGCACACGCACAAATGACGTACATACATCGTGCGCTTACCTTGCACAGGTGGCTCTCCAAGGATTACTCCTCCAGCTGGAGCAGAGACCCAATGCTCGCGCTGAACCGCCCCCCGGATACCGGCTCTGACAACAGCCGTGTTGGGGGCGGCGGCGCTAGGAAAGGAAGCGGGTGGGTCACCAACGGCTCTAGGGGGCTCGGTGGCGGGGAGAGGCGGTCATACGGCGGCGGCTCTTCGTCCTCCGCTACAGGAGGAGGGTGGTAGAAAACTGTGGTATAATAGAGGTGACGCGTTCGGCAGCAGTAGTTGGGCGGACATTTTTTTTGGCGATGGCGCCTGCGGCTCAACTGTACTCTTCCGTCTCGGTGACAATAAATTTGTGATGAGAGATAACGCGTACATTAGTAGTTGGGTGGACAAATTTAGTAACCATGGTACCGGCGGCGGCTTGTTTGAACTCTTGCGTCTCGGCGACATACCGCCGTGTGTCTTCGGCTGTTGTTGTTACCCATGAGAAGCGTTGGGTAGGTCATGCGGCGGGATTCTTGCGTGAATTGACCCACCGTTCGCGAGGCCAACTGTCGTCGGCGAAGGTGTTTGTTGTTGTTGAGGAAGCTATTAATAGCTGCGTTGCAGCTCTCTTCACAGCAGTAGTGGCGTTCATATTGTTGTCGCACGCCGACGCCTCTACCAGAAACCCGTGAAGAGAGGGTTGCAAGCAACGCTTCGCGAATCCTGCGCGCCGACTTCGTTGAACGATGGGCCTAGCGGTTGTGGCAGGCGGCGGTCTAGCTTTCCGGTCAGCTCGGTTTGCTTCGTGTACATATTTCGAGACATAATCAGGTTCCGTGGGATGGGTTGATGGAGGGTCGCTGAAGCAGTGGCGCGAACACGACCATGCGGTGTTGTACATACATAATTTGTCGATACGGAGTACATACGTAAGCAGGTACATAGCGGATTTTGATGGCAGTAGATCATTCCCTGTTAGTGGCTGCAATCAGGTGTGTGCGTGTAACGTATGATCCGGGAAACTACTTCCTGCGCTTGTGTGTTTTCGTGGCAGTTTCTCCTACAGTAACGTCAAACTGGCGCTTAGAAATACACTTTTTTTTGCCTTGGAGAGCGGTGTGCGCTTCTGCCGCAGCAAACAACACCAAACACCGTGATGTCGCATACCATATATTTCGAGCGAAGCGAGGTTTCTAATCTGGCCGGAAAGTCTCAGCGCAATATTACGCTCCCACGAAGAAAAAAAAAGCTTCTGCGCCGCGGCGTGTTTTTGAAGGTGGGAAGGTGGGTTAGCACCGCACGTGTCCACACAGCAGATTGCAGCCATTGCAGCTGCAGACCACACGCACAGCAGACAACCTTGTTGTCGCGCAACATATTGTACATTTAGACCGTCGTTGGGGCTGACACAACATGATTCTTTTGGGAAAAAATATTACCCACTGCTTTGCCAACCAAGCGCACACGGGGGCAAATTAGACTATATCTATACCTAACTAAATGTAGCTTTTATGACCTTCGTCGCTACCCTCCACCTTTACAAAAACTAGTCTGGGAACAATCAAAAACAAGCAATCGCGTGCCGTACATGAACATCATTTTTCGACTATTGAGGCCTTCATTTCATGTCCACATCCGTCTCACCAACCACGTTCGCTTTGGCACGTCTTAATTATTGCCAGAGACTCACAACACAAACAAGAACTTACAAGTTCAGCCACAAGCCGAAGCCGAGATATGCATTCCACCAATGAAACATGCTAACTATCTTTATTTTACAACCCGGCAACCCGCAGCAGTCAACCTTTTCGGCGCGGCGCGGCACGACACGTTTCAGCATTCCTGCATTCCGCTGGCTCAAGGAACCCTCTTCCCTTATCTAGACATGCGAGATCAACGACTGGGGGCCCGACGACCAAACCCAAGCCTGCGCCCACCGCCCACTGTTACCCACACCGGTCGCTGTGCCACATGCGCAACCGCGACCCCCCCCCCCCCCCCCCCCCCCCCCCCCCCCCCCCCCCCCCCCCCCCCCCCCCCCCCCCCCCCCCCCCCCCCCCCCC